TATTATTACCATCTTTTGTATTTTGCGAGAAAATAATGTGCAATATTGATGTTCTAAAATTAATTCATATCAGTACTAATGTAATAACAATAAATGTTAAAGCATAAAGAATGATTACCAACATTAAAAGATTTTTCTCTATTTCTGGAATGAATGTCCTTCTCTGACAAAGTTTACATACATATATTTGAAGGAGATGCAATGCATATGTTAATTTTGCCGTATTGAAAGTCTTCTGATGCCTTCATTAGCTATGTCAAGGGACTTTTATGCCTGCATTCATTGTATTGAAGAAAAAAAAAAGGAATGCCTGCATTGTCTGTAGAGACTGTATTGATCCTTAAAGGAGTCTCTCAGTGCCTGAGTTAGCCCTTATGACAGTCACGAATGTGCATTGGTCATATTGACAGTCTCTCAATCCCTGCATTGGCTCTTAAAAAAGTCTGTCAGTGCCTGTGTTGGCTCTTCAAAAGAGACTTTCAATGCCTGCATTGGCTCTTAAAAAAGTTTTTCAATGCCTGCATTGGCTCTTAAAAGAGTCTTTCAACGCCTGCATTGGTCATTTTGAGAGTCTTTCAATGCCTGCATTGGCCCTTATGACAGTCTCTCAATGCCTGCATTGGCTTTTAAGAAAGTCTTTTAATGGTGCATTGGCTCTTAAAAGATGAAAGTCCCTCAATGCCTGCATTGGCTTTTAAGAAAGTGGTCATTTTGAGAGTCTCTCACTGCCTGCATTGGTCCATATGACAATCTCTCAATGCCTGCATTGGCTTTAAGAAAGCCTTTCAATGCCTGCATTGGCTCTTGGTAGAAGCAAGCAATGCCTGCACATAAAGTTGGGCAATGCCTGCACTGGACTTTGAGAGATTACTTAATGCCTGCATTGGGTCTTAAAGGTCATATGAAAAGGTTAAAACAGTAGGATTTTACTTTTTAAACATAAAGACTTGTATGAAAGAATGTCAAATTACGTTTAGTACAAAATTGTTTGCCTCTGCTTAACTGAAAAATGGAGGCCTAAATTTGTCCACTTAATAAATTTGTTTACCCGCTTATCGTTCTTGATTTTGTGTTTTTATGACGTCACAAAGACCCATTGATATAAATAACGCATTAGATATAGTGTAATTTTAGCGTATTTTATTGAGTTAATTTTAGCCATTTTTTGGGGATATAAATGTGATTATGTTTTTAGATGAGCTATCTGATTCTAAAGTACAATTTACTCTATTTAAACTAATCGTTAATTAGGCCAACAACTGAAAACGAGAGCTTTTCATCGTAGGATGATCCTGATGAATATTCCGTTGAAATCAAGATTTTTATCCTCCAACTATGATTATTTATTTTAAATTAGTACTTTAGAAACAAAAATCTTCTTATTTCTATATGATTCATGATGTTCTTTTCATTCCTAGTGAAAGTGTATAATTAACAACAAAAAACAGCGTAATTAATTAACATTGACCTGAAGCTTCTTACAATAATATATATTGAGTGGGAAAAATATCCAGCTCAAGGGTACCCCTTATTCCCAAATAAACACGGGGATATTGAAGTTCATGATGAACATGGATCAATGAAAAGTCGGCGTATTTGAATGCACGCTTTCTGCAATCTGAAACACGAGGACTAATGTAAAACGATATAGAAACAGGGGTTTATGACGACATCATCGTAATTTTGCTGTCACAAGAAACATGATTTTAAAAAAAATGGCGCAAAATTACCGGCATCACGATCTCGAGTATGTACACGTACATGTATACTTGTACATGTATATACATGCACTGTAATGTTACGGTACTGATACTTTTAACAGTTTGACTGAGCAATTGCAGTTTGAAAATACTCATACAATTCGTGCATAAATTGATCAGTTAAAAAAATCCATACCCCCCATTATTTGCGCGATTGAACCTGAACAATTTTTAAAATTAATATTTTTACAGTTAAACATTTTTTTATATCAGACTATATACTCTGTGTTGAAATAATCTGATACAAATTTAAACAATTCGGTCTGTAAATATATTCACACAGAAAAGTAGAATTGCATAGATAGAATTGTGTTTGATGTCTGACTTTTTAAAAGTTATTACGATATTAAATATAGTTACAGTGTTATCTGTATACATGTACTGACTTTTTGGTTAGAAAAATATACGGGAAGAGAGAGAGAGAGAGAGAGACAGGGAAAGCCAAAGAGAGAAAAGGGAAAGCGATTGAGAGAGGGGGAAAGCGAGAAAGCGATAGAATCATTTCATTTCCCATGAATAAATGAAATAATTTATTTGCAGGTTTAGTTTCACTTTCACACACCGCGGTCAATCGAATTCAGCTTTACTTATTGATTTTAATCAGAAAACAAATCATCAATATTCTTGTGTTAGAAATTTATTCAATTGTAAATTACTTGACAGCGTCTATATTCACTTACTCTAGTACAGACTCCCTCTCTCTGTTTTCTCTCTCTCTCTCTCTCCGTCTCTCTCTCTCGATTGAAGTGTCGAAGGATGACAATAAATTACAAAGATAAAACATGCTAAAATCTTGCAAATATGCAATAGGATGTTAAAAGACAAATACTGTCTTGTTTGAACATCGTATATTTATGCGATATTTTAGCCAAGATGATGATATTTCTTAAAAATTACGCTGCAAAAGACATGATCGGTTGTATAAATGTTAGTACTGAATGTAGCGAGTGGGTCTTACTGACGTCATAAGCAAAGGGAAATAAACCGCGCTAGTTGAAGTTCATTTTCGCAGTCAAGTAATTTTGATCGACTCTGCTGCCGCTAACTTGCATAAAAAATCCAAAATGTAATTTCAGGCTTATTAAAGTTGCTCAGATGAACTCATTTCCGTATACAACCCAAAATGCTCAGGGCATTGTTTCATATGACCTTTAAGAGAGGCTTTCAATGCCTGCATTGAACCTTGAAGTAGTCTTCATGCCTGCACTGATTTTTAAGTGGCATGCATTGGTTCTTGAGAGTCGGACAATGCCTGCTTTGATTTTGGAGTGTCATTAAATGCCTGCATTAGCCCTCAAAAGAATTGTCTTATATCTGCATAGGGCAACAATAAAAATATTGCCTCACAATTGACTATGGATTTCTGGCATTTTCAAACATTTTCTGACATTGATCATTCTTATTTGGGACACCCCCTTAAATTTTATTTAAGGGAGGTACGTTCTGCATTACAAGTTTATTCATTTTCCTCTTGTCCAATTAGAATATGTATTCATTTATTACTACATTTAATTACACGACTACATTTACGCCTCTTTCAACTGCATATGTGATTCCAATATACACAAATCTAATTGAGAACAAAAATTGCAAGAAATATAATGGACAGTGTGTCGACGATTCTGTTAATACTAATACTGTGAGATTTTGGAAATAAGCAAGTCATACCATAACACTTATATCTGGATGTTTTTGTGATCAATGACACCTTTCTTGATATATTGATAAAATTTCATTCATTCTGGCAATAGAAGCCGAAATTTCTTTCCATAGCTCCCAAAATATTGACCTTTAATTAAAAAAAAAATAATTAACACAAAAAAAATTAGTTGAGTGTCCATTAACAACAGAAGTTCAACATGCGGGTAAGTAAAAATAAAGTTCAAATAATAAGCATTTATTTTGACTAAAAATAACATTTACATGACATTATATTTATAAAACATTAAACATTAAATAGGAAAATGTCTTCTTAATTAAATAAGAAAATTGATTTAGTTTAATTCTAATTCTTTTTTTTTTTTTTTTTAAATGATATATCGTCTTCAGAATACATGTAACTGATAAACAGAGACCAGTTTTATATTATTTGGATCGAAAATAGACATAATTTAACTGTCACTAAATGTGACAATGTTAAAATAGAAAAAATAAACTTTGCGATGTTAGAACACATTTTAAAATCGTACAAAATATCAGATAATAATGAAATAACAATTCAAATCTTAATAAATGAGAATAACACTAAGTCTTATAGTAATATTTTAAAAACGAACACATTTGATTTTACAAGCACTATCAAAACTAGTTAACAAATAAAAATGAACACAGTTTGTCTGACAACATTGACTTAACAATTAAACACAGTGTAAATAAAAAAAATGCCTTTACAATCAAATGTAAAAATAAGGTGAATTTTACAGCCCGTAAGAGAGAAAAGTTTTGTTTAAAAAAACGAACACATTGTGGCTTATCAACATCTTCGCAACATTTCTCAACAATATGAAAAAACTAGAGGTACTGTGAGCACTGAGCTCACTAAATGATACCCCGCCTCCCATATGATTATAATGGCAAAGTCCACGTTTTGCTCTGGGAGACCCGAAATATGTGTCAGATAAAAAGGTAAAATAGGAGGTGCACAATGGCATATGTGATAAAGAATCTGTGCAAGTATCATTAAATTTTATTCAGTGGTATAGGAGGAGTTGTGGATAAGAGATGGGTACCTTCAATATTATAGAAAGAATGGCAGTGTCCATGTTTTGATATGGGAAACCCTAAATATGTGTCTGATCAAAAAGTAATGTAGGAGGTGCACAATGGCACTATGTAACAAGGATTCTGTGAAATTATTGTTAAATTTCATTCAGTGGTATAAGAGGAGTTGCGGATAAGAGATGGGAACCCCAAAGCGTAACAGACGGAAGGACGTCCAGATAGACGGACGGACGTACAGACAGACGGACGGATGTACAGACAGACGGACGGACGTACAGACAGACAGACTCCATAATGATGCATATATATAGTATGTTTTCTGGAAGGTTTTAGATTTTTTTTCTAAAGTCAGAGTCTTTTTAAAAATATAACCTTTTAATTTGGAACACCCTGACTGAATGAATAGATAGAATTATTGAATGAAAAGATATAATCATAGAATCATTATAACTTGTTACAGAAATTGTTTCAAAGACCAGACTAACATCAGTCAACTACATCAATCTCATTTCATTGCCATTTTCCATGCCCTGCTTCCTGTCATGTCTCCTGTTTGGACCTTTTCCTGTCAAATACAAAGTATGTTTTGATAGAAAAAATGCAAAATATAATCGGATTTATGTAGTGAATGCGTTATAAATCCATTTATCACAGCGCCCCACGTGGAAGGATGCGCGCGCAATATATGCGCAAGCATTTGTACATTCCATTCTCACACCATTTCCAAATGTTGCACGTTTAGGGTTTGCTGTGAATTTTTAAGAAAATTTAGAATATTGCACAATGACATTGTCAAAAGACTGTGGTGTACAAAGACGAGGTTTTACTGATTGTTTGCACTAATTGTACCGTTAGTGTACTTCAACATGCTAGAGTTTTCGACTTCGCGCTGAAGGGCTGTAAAGAGCGTATGGACGTAAGCCGCGGCTCTTACTTGTAGGAGTATTGTTGCTGTAAATATTGACCAAGATGTCCACAACATCTATAGTCGCCAAAGCCAAACAAGGCATTACAAAATGGAGAGAGAGAATAACGTCAATACCAGCGCTAGCAATGAGGAGGACATGCATAATACTACTACACACAGCACAAACGGTATGTCATCTTGTATGCCTACATCAATTATTAGTATAATGTTTTCACTGTTGTATCAATTACATTTTTAAAAAATGCACAAGAAAATACTAAATGTTCAGTTAATCGATAATTCTGTTAAAATCAGTGGGAAAAGGCAAAGAATAAGCTAGTCATTACAATTCGTTTTATTGTATTTAGTAGACTCTAAATTTAAGCACACCCCCTTCAACCACAGAGTTTAGAGCAATATAAATATAATTATGCACACGTTAAGATTGGGTTCCATAAAACTCCCATTGACTTGAATTAATTTAACCTCATACTCTTAAGATCACGCACTCGGCATCGTCGGTCATTGTTCCGATGTTGTAAGCGCCCGAGTATATACTTCATGGAGCCTTAATGTTATCAATATATGAGGCTATAATAATAAGACTTATTTATCTATTCACCAATCAATGAGCTTTGAAAGGGGGGCATATATATATATATATATAATTTATAAAAACAATACAATTACGTTTATAGCAAGTAATGGCTGCATTACGTGCAATATTAACCTGATCCTCACTTGTAATATTTAACTGTCCTCGCTAGCATCCCTCATACAATTGAAAGACTAGTGTTTTGATGCCAAATATCGTTACTTATTGTGTATATATGTGCACATTGTTATAAATATGTATTTCAAGCTTGTTCTCCCTTCGATTAACATCTTCGTGTCCGTCCTCAACAAATCAGCAACCCCGGCCTGGGGAAACACTTTTTGAAACAGAAAACCTTAAATTTCGTTACTCCTAGGCATTCAATTAATAAACATCGGTCATTCTTAAGTAAATATTAAACTACTTCCAATATTTATGCATGTCATGTTCCACCAAAGCAAGAATTAGGCGATCAGTTGAGAAATGGTTTTAATTTAATTTAGGGCGCATGGAGTGAAGAGCAAATTAATTAATTAATTAATTGAAATTAATTTCAGTAGATCTGTATCAAGACAAATTCAGTATATGTTGCTGAGTTAAATAGCTATGGGCGAATAGCTGTTCCTTTTTCCTTAACACCTCTATCAAAACTAGGCCCATAAATCATGGAGGGGGATCAATATCCACATAAAAATAAACCCAAAATTTTATAGATTGAGGGCCATAATCGGTATGATAGCACCATTGATAAGATCTTTACCTGGCAAAATGGATACAAAAAATCGTTTTTAGACTATTGTCTAGAAAACCAGATGATTTTTTGCTTACTTGGCTTCGAATAACTACTATGTCAAACGCCTTCCATTTGTTGTTATACATCGTCACAAATAAATAAATAAATAAAGTGATTAATAAATTAATTAAACACAAATGAAATATTATCTTTTTTCAATGGGTCGTCAGGTCACAACCTGGTTCGAAATATGAAACGCATTTATTTATCTTGATGTCTTTCTGTTTTGCAAGTTCAGCTCACGCCAACATTTGCTCAAAATTGATGACACGTTTGGCGATTTTGGTCAGCATTGGGAATTCTTCAATGCGTTGAACATTTGTTCCCGTCACAAAAATTAATTCATCTGGGTTTGGAAATTGATACATGTCAAGCTTGTATTCTGACGAAAAGCTAATTAAACCTAAGATTTTGCTGATAGGAAGGGCCAATAAATCTTAAAAGTCACTTCAAATGAAATGCAATTCTTTCAGTGCCGTCTTACCGCGCTGTTACCAGCGTTCCCACGATGCAATGATTGGCATAAAAAATGCAGCAACTTTTCATTTGTATAAAGACCATTTGTTTTTATGTCATTTAAATTTTGAATCACTTTACATTTATTTCTTTACGATATGGCTGATTAAGCAGTAATATTCTTTAGCTGAGCACGGTAAGCGCAGACGGAAGGCATACTGGCTGCGGGAGAGCCAGCATATGGTTATACACCTATAATTGTAGTAAAGTTATTTTGGTTACGATTAGATCACACAACTTTATAAACAGACGTCAAAATATGTAAGATCTATACAATTTGATTTGATGTTTAGTATATTTAGAAATGACTTATACACGTTTTTAGATTTTACCTTATTAAATTGAGATCTCCATCTTAGAATTACTTGATCACACTTCACATGTTATCATCACGGAAGTACTATTTCATTTATCAACATTACTTGCATATACAGTGTAAAATTTTACAATATACAAATACATGTACAGATTATTTAGTATGTATACACATAAATTGTTTGTACTGTTTGTAATTGTAGAAATCATGCTTGTTGTTTGTGATGCCTGAAAGGGCCCTGATTTGGAAATAAAGAATCTTATCTACCATACTATCGTCATCAACAAATAAATAAATAAATAAATAATGTATTCCATCTCATGTTCTCATTAATGTTAATACGTAACCAACAGTAGATAATTAACTATCTTTAGTAAGAAAACCTTTTTATACTAAGCACTTTAAGTTTAAACTCGGCATTGCATAAGTAGAACCTCGTTATAAACGAGTACTTTCATCACGTAGACGTTAAACTGCAGGAGGGGGGGGGGCAGTAGGTAAAGAGACACAGTTACTCTCTGTATTGTTAATTATTAGTCATGCACCATTGTTTACGAATCAGAGCAAACATTCCTGGTAATTTATTATTTATATTAACCTTAAACTAGATGTGTTGCGTCTCAATATAAATATATCCACTATACATGTAAATTATATTCTTTTAGAACTTGAAAAGCTACTTACTTTCATGCGAATCAATTCAATTATTTGGAAGAGAACAATTTAAATGTTATCATTCATAGATTATAAACCCTGCAGTTCAATAGAATAAGAAAGACATTTGAACTTTTTCTCTAGATACTTGGTTCATCTGTTCATTTTAATCACAGGCTTCTATAGCAGTAAATTTTAGTATGTTGTAACAAAGCAAGAGAGGAATGTGCTAGAATGGGGTTCCTAATCCGATATTCTATTGCGGGGCAAATGACCTTGGCTGTGTAAAGATATGCACTGCCGAATCCTTAAATAGTTCAGTAAAGTTAACTATAGGGTCGTTTCCAGATGTGATGGGAAGTTCGATCAGGAAAAAGATCGCAAAAGTAATTAACTCAGTTACCAAGCATAATTAATCTAGTTACAACAGAGGATATTTTATATATACAATTCGTCTGGCAGTAAGCTAAAATTTTTAAAAGCGGGCTTAAAAATAGTGAACTGCCAACTTGATTTAATATTATCATTTATAGTAGTAGTAGTATCATTGATATATATTGTGGGGGTCACGGCTGGTTTTGTGAGTAGAGTGTTAAGCTACCCCCACGTTTGTGGCGGCGTGCATATTACATGAGTAACTATGCACGTTTGGCGGATTTAGCTTAACACAATTCGTCTCGACTAGCGCCGCTGTGAACAGGGCGCGGCTGCAACATAATTATTTTGACAACTGGTCAATGGAAAACAATTGACAGAACATTGATTAATTGAAATATTGTTTGGCTTAAACATAAACTTACTACAATTCATTGAATTGAGTGAGTATTGATTGATTGAACATTGATTGATTGAACATTGATTGATTGAACATTGATTGATTGAATATTGAAACATTGATTGATTGAACATTGATTGAATATTGATTGATTGATTTAATATTGATTGATATTATTGAAAATGGATTGATTCATTTGACTGAAACTTTTTGATTGATTCAACTGAATATTCATTAATTGATTGGATATTCATTAATTGAATTGATAAATTTATTGATTGATTGATTGAACTTGATATTGATTGATTCAATTGAATATTGATTGATTGATTGAATATTGTTTTATAAGGCTGGCGCACCGCAAAATTTGGAAAGCAAACGCCAGTCTTATAGTGTAAAAATGACATGTGTACAGTTAATATTGATTGATTGATTGTTTGCTTTGATTGGAGGTGTGCCAAAAACCAATTGGGTCGGCACCCACTGAACACATGTACCTTAAATAATTGATCTGCAACCAGCCGTGGCCATATGATGCCAAACTTAATAAATAAATAATTAAGAAATGGTGTCACTTGTTTTTTAGTGGTAGTCTGTGATAATCGGATTTATGTAGTGAATGCGTTATAAATCCATTTATCACAGCGCCCCACGTGGAAGGATGCGCGCGCAATATATGCGCAAGCATTTGTACATTCCATTCTCACACCATTTCCAAATGTTGCACGTTTAGGGTTTGCTGTGAATTTTTAAGAAAATTTACCCGCCCTTCCACACCCCATATTACTTTGAGTTGTTTTCTGCGCCGAGTTCTTTTCATTTCAGAGAAAGAAGCCTAAGGAGCCAAGCTGTCAATCATTCTAAGACCTTGCCTTAGTCACGACCGGCCAAAGCTGCCATTCCTCGCCATACAGTGATGAATGCTATCGCGATGGACACTTCCAAGTACCAGAAGGAAGGATTTCGCTCACCCAATCGTATTGGCTTATTGACTCTAAACAGGGTGAAGCTGCAACACGATAACTATCGATCAAGGACTAGACAACACCCATCGTCACGGCTGGTCATCTTATTATGCGGACAGTATTGTCTCTGTAATTGACAGAGCGAAGAGCCAGTTGGAGAGATACATCGTATAGCGCTTAACACAAATCATCTTGACACGCGTCGCTGTTAACAGGGCGCAGCTGCAACTTGATTATGTGGATAACTTATCGATGGAAAACAATTAATTGACTTGATAATTAACACAGAACATTGAATAATTTATTGAAATATTGTTTGGCTTAAACATAAACTTACTACAATTCATTGAATTGAGTGAGTATTGATTGATTGAACATTGATTGATTGAACATTGATTGATTGAACATTGATTGATTGAATATTGAAACATTGATTGATTGAACATTGATTGATTGAATATTGATTGATTGATTTAATATTGATTGATATTATTGAAAATGGATTGATTCATTTGACTGAAACTTTTTGATTGATTCAACTGAATATTCATTAATTGATTGGATATTCATTAATTGAATTGATAAATTTATTGATTGATTGATTGAACTTGATATTGATTGATTCAATTGAATATTGATTGATTGATTGAATATTGTTTTATAAGGCTGGCGCACCGCAAAATTTGGAAAGCAAACGCCAGTCTTATAGTGTAAAAATGACATGTGTACAGTTAATATTGATTGATTGATTGTTTGCTTTGATTGGAGGTGTGCCAAAAACCAATTGGGTCGGCACCCACTGAACACATGTACCTTAAATAATTGATCTGCAACCAGCCGTGGCCATATGATGCCAAACTTAATAAATAAATAATTAAGAAATGGTGTCACTTGTTTTTTAGTGGTAGTCTGTGATAATTATGATTTACACCTAAGAACACCTAAGAACAAAGCTCTATTTCCTCTTCCAACGGTAATCAATCAGCTGAAGGTGAGACTAATTGATAAAAAAAACTCCTGGATAACACATTTCAAATTAAAATAATCTCTGTTTCAAATTTTTATGTCTTCTTAAGCATCATATGGATATCTGTTTCACGTACTTGCACACAGTGGACAGCTGCATTTTTGTTTCCTTACACAACAGAATGTTAGCCCTGATACAAGTCCTGCTATCAGTGTAGCAACGATTACACATATGATAATGGTACTTCCATTATTTGATGTCTTATGGATCCTGAAATTAAAGTAAAAGTTGTCCATAATTGCCTATAAACAGAAGCTTTCCTTAAAACTCTAAGGGAATGATTTTTCTTGCACTTTCTGACACAACTTTTTACAATGTTTTAAATAATTTTGATTGATTTTTACCCATCATTTCTATGTGTTGGTGAAGTTTCCTGCAGATTTTGTGATGAAATTACTGTGCGAAGGGTAGTAACTCTTCCTTTTGTGATGTTAGAGAAACAGCCAAAATCTTTTTTTAAAAAAAGTCGACAATCTTTTATAGTATTTATATATAAATAAGAAAATTTGTAAACCTTGTTAAATCAAACACCATACATTTTTTCTCTTTATGTTTTGCTATTATTGAATAACACTGTATGCATTTCATAATTAAAACATGAATGACTCTTAAATTACAATTAAGATAGATAAAAGTTTGAAATGATGTCAAATCTAGTCCTAATACATTTGCATTAAAAGCTAATGAAAGGATAGGGAAGGACTACTTAAATATTAAGTCAATAATATAAAAAAAAAAGTAATGAGTGATTACTACCTACTGTAATAAAGCTTATTGCTTAGGAAAAATTCTATAAATTATTACATTTATATGATGTTGTCGAGTTGTAGGATTCCGGACATGGTAGAAGATTTGCAATCTGTCAAAAAGTTGCCACGAATACTTGCTTTATCGGTGTTGAATTCAGCACACCTTCCACCTTTAACATTAAAAAGAAGATATATATAGTTTTATATATATATTTTTTTTCTTTTTTCCAAGTAAATAACAATTAAAATTCAAACTTATTAATGGAATATGAAGATAAAGAACAATAATCCAGCTCAATTTCTACTGGAACAGTATACGTTATTAATTAATGTTAAAAGTACATTGTTAAAATAATTAATTAACTATAGCTTATTTACAAATTATATTTTTTTTATTTTGCATTTTTGTTAATTTGTTTTGAATTATCCTCTGCACAAATAATATAATCATACATGTACCTACGGTTCTGTGTATCTTTGTGCAGTAAAAACATTTTCTTTTAACAAACCATTTATGAACTATCTGTGGTCAGTTTGACAGCTTAAATATAAGTGTGTTTACTCCGCACAAAACACGAATATTTATTATAAGATTGTCTTTCAAAATTAGATTAATATTTGGCATTTAGTGTCACAACACTAAATTAAGTCAAAACAAAGATTCTCAAATTATTTCGTTCATTGTTAGTAAGCTGGACATCCTTAATTGCAGATTTTGACCATTTTTTATAAATAACTCTTGTGCTTAATATATGAGTTACAGAATGCATTCCTAAAAACCTGCACAGATGTTAAATAATGGCTGATTCGAAGATTTTCATTTCTTAAAGCTAGGGGTGCTTTAACATATCTAAAGGTTATATTTTTGATGGTAAATAAGTATGCTTTGTTTTGATTGCATCTTTTTCCATCTTTATTCCCAAAATATTGATGAAACATTGATTGAGGATATGTTTCATAACAAAATAGAAATTTGGTAAAAACCAAAATAAATAAATGTGAATGTTATGAAGATATTAAAATATAAATAACATCAAATCAAAACTTGTTATTTACGTTTTGATTAGACATTATATTACCCGGCTTTGATGTTATAAGGTACCAAATCTTACATAGTTTTTCAAGAATTTTAAAAGGAGATGTTCAGAGAGGCCAACAGACAGATTCACCATGCCCCTTTAGAAAAAAACATATAAAATTTTGAGTTTTGTAGCCATTTTAGACCTGACGAACAGCATTAATCTCTCTATTTTTCTAGCATTGTATGAAATTATCTTTCATGTACATGTACAAGTAAGATTAATTCAGGGAAGAGCAGAACAGAGAGCATTGAAAATATAAATTTCTTTTTCATTATTGTATTTTATTACATTATTTTTTCTTGCACAAGTTAGTTTAAATAAGGGAAAACACAACAGAGCACACTCAAAATATAAACAAGGTTCCAATTAAAAAAAATTAAAAGTTTAATAGATCTTACCAATAATAAGTAAAGATGGAGCGCATACTTCTATCGTTTCATTCATCCAATCGTTAATTACACAGTGATACTCAAAAGACTTGCATGAATGCTTTATATCGTGACATTTCTTCCTTTCAACTGCTTTTCTTAGTTCTGATGTATTTTTTGGACAGGACCATACTCTTGAAACTGTGTCAAGAGAGTCTTTGCAGGGTATCACGAAGCCAAATGCAAATCTTTGGATATAATGCAAAACCTGTGGATAAATGATTTTTTTTTTTAATTTAGCATTTACATGACAATGATTAACTTTAAATACTACATATTTAGATTTAAATCAATGAAAGTTTTGGAAATGAGGTTATCTTTCTCTTCTTTTCTTGCATTTATCAAACTCAAATATTTTAGATAATGACATCCTGATGCCATCTTACTTGAAATGTATGCTGTATTAATAATTAATATATACAAGGTTTAGCTTGTTATTTATAATTCTATTTACAACTGTTTTTATTATCTTTGTTCTCTTTCTTATTGAAACCATACCATTACTTGCAGCATGTACGTGACTAGATATTCCTTGGTGTTGATTAACCTACAACAATGTCAAAATGATAACATTTATTTAAAAGTCAGTTAATCATTAGTAAAAGATCAGCGTTTGTACATATTTCACCGGAGAGCGTTGTGCAAAGAAGAAAGTACGTTACGGACCAAAATCGGCCCTGTCCCCAAATCTGATGAAGATATTTTTGAAACATGCCTAAGATGTCATCTTTTTAATTCAGCTTAATTTTTGTAATTATCTCAACTCAATTTTCCTACAACGCTATCTGAATATAGATAGTTTCTTTGGAAAATAACACTATGACGTTATGACGTCAACCTAGCGACGCTACGCAAATACGAGGGTTGTTGGAAAGTTTGTTATATTACTTTCATGAAATATTAAAAAAGAACACATTTTCTCATATAAAATATTTATTTGAAGTTTCATTCCATTCGATTTAACTGAAATCAATTTACTTAATTTTTAAAATCAGCATGTTTGGTATCCCTGGAGCTACATTATAACGTCAAAAAACATTGCGTCATGGTGTTTTCAAAAAAAAAAATCTCCCTTTACATTTCACTCAGTTTGGTCCAATATCCACTTATTAAAAACGTTTCTCCATCAATTTTATTTTATATTGCTAACAATCGTATAATTTAATTTTGTTTGTCCATGTTTTATTTCTTTTTTATTTTACCGCGTAACTGTGCATTTACAAGATCAGCAACTGTGAAGCGCCTCTCTCTTTCCATGACTTTAGCAACTCAAAGTTTCTGTTCAGATATTTACAGATAATCCATTTTCTCACAGACCGCCCTTGTCTGATACAAAATTTTAATCATTCGAATACAGCCTCTATCATTTATACACATATGCACAAATCGCTTTTGACATTTGCTTCCTACAATATTTCAGAGTTTATTCTGAAAATTTCCAGAGTACAACACAAAATTTTAATATATATACCTTTAAAATTGGTTTCTATATAAATTTATACGCATTCCTAATGTTGTACTGAGCGGTCATAAAAAAAATCGATGTTTGGCCGCGGAGTAAGATATTTGACCTGTCGATGAGAAATTGGACCGCTTACGTTAGTTTGCAATCGTTGGTGTTCGACAGTGACGAAATTGACCAATTTTAACCGCAGTGTAATTTAAGTAAATTTACATCATGGAAGCCTGCACAAGATACAAAGGTATAACAAAACATTTATTGACTAGGTTCTCGGGCAAAATGCGTTTTGTTGACCCATCGAATGGTTAAATAAAGGCCCCAGAGTGAGACAAACAGTTTGGTTTTTGGGTCCGACAATATACGTACAAATAAAAGATTAATTTATATGATTTTAAAACGAGAGAGAGAGAGGGGGGGGGCAGAGTGAGAGAGAAATGCGTAACGTATATTTAATAGTACGTTTATTATAAGTATCCGATTATTCTAATTCAAGCAAGAGTTTGATTTTTAAAAGCTAGACTATTTTTTATGCGAATTACTTGGTTTGTTTTTAAGATTGCATTAAAACTTTTAACACTATTTTATAAATGTCAGATTCCCTATAAAATTTTATGAGAAAGCATTAAAGATATTTTCAAAATGTATTTGAAATTTTAATTAATAGATAACATTGAAAGGGCAAATTCCCCGGCCCATTCTCGCGACGCCATTCACGAATTTATCTAAGCAAAGTGTGTTTAAAACGTTTCTGTCTTGTCATCTTAAAAAGTTTCCAAAAAAAAAAAACTGAAAAAGTACTGTCATTCGATTAATAATTTTATATTTCTCCAGATGGTTCTGTTCAAATGCAAGAATCAAGTATCCCCCCCCCCCCCAAACAAGCTGTAGCACTTCTCTTGGATAGTTGGCATGGGCAACCTTCTATCGAATTTTCTTTAGCAACTTTCACCAACTTAGTATAGCTTCTCAAAAAAAAAAAAGGGAATAAATTAAAAAATAAATAAATAAAAAAAATAAATAAATAAATATAATAAAAATAAACATGTATAAACATTTACTCTTTTGAAGAACACTTTTACGATCTTTTTTTTTAAATACGTAAATATAATTATAAATAACTACTGTTGCTTGAAGTTTCGACTTTGTTGCTTGAAGTTTTGCTCAATATGAGCCTATCTTTAAGTAAGTATTGTGAGCCTTTGATACCAAACCTATGGAGAAAATGAATATAGGCACTTTCAATCCATTTCAGGTAGAGCTCTCGCGCCGTGATCGGAAGGTCGTGTGTTCAAATCACGGCTGCGACCGACCTAAGTCGATAAAAAATAGGTAGCAACTTTTCCTTCGTCAAGCGCTCGGCACTTTGAAGTGAAAGTTGCGGGTCTTTCGGATGAGACCTAAAAACCGAGGCCCCGTGTCACGGTAGGTTCAAACTTTTTTTCATTTTTTTTTTTCACAACCAATTTTCCCCCAATTCACTAAATTCCTAAACTTTACCTATGCTACAGCAAATAGATGGGGGGTGGCTAGTCTTTTAATGAACATTTTTAAAATTCGGAAAAAAGTGGGAATTAAGGGGCCCTGCGTCCCTGATTCTTCGTGCCTGATAAATAACTTGTTTTCAGACTTGTCCACACTGACAAATAATTTTGTTCCACAGTACTTATATTGTGTGATACACTTACACTGCCGTAATGGGGTGAAAGAATTTTCTATACAGGTAACATTGTGAAAAGTGAACCCATCATCCGATACAGCTTTTTTTTTTTTTTTGTCCGAAATTCCTTTTTGGACCTTTCTGTCGCTTTCTCATTCCAGTCTTCTTTTAACTTCACTGGATCCTCGACAGATAAGAAATTACAACTCTGGTATATGTGGAATGATCTCAAGTAGAATATACGGGTAAAAAATAAAGAGCCATAGCTGCCTCTCAGACGACACGGCTGACTCAAGAATGTAAAAGGAAATCACCTGATTCTATTTATAGATATACCTTTTCAATTCAAGATCAAACTATGTAATATGATTTGAGGACGAGTGTTATATTTTCGTAGTTGCACGTATGTCAAATGACAATCATTTCATTTGTTCAGTACTCAAATTCTGAGACAAAAGATTTATAAAATCAATAAAAATAAAACAAGTAGCTTTGAATTTGCAAACTTTGATAAAATAGTTTAGGACCGAGCTGTTTTTTCCGAGCTACTTTCAAAGTGTATATTGTGTATATTATAACTTTCTGAACTTATGTATATCATAAAACGTAATAAAGAAAAACGTAGAAAAGATACACAAAGAAAAACAAATTTAAGAAAGCATAAATGGAAAAAATGTGGGACTTGAACTCGCTATCACCATATTTCCATTCCAGCAATCATACCATTGCGCCAACGAAGTCAATGACGTTGAATGAATAAATTTAAGACAGATTGCTAAATCTTACGATTATATGAGAAGAAAAATTGAATATATATTTTCATCATTTTCAATATGAAGACCACCTTTTAACCAAAATTAGAAGTGCAGTCATATCCGAATAAAATCCTTCAAAAGTTTTTTTTTTTTTTTCTTTTTTTTTTTTTCCTGGTTAAGGGTGGTCTTTGACAACAGTTTGTCATCTTTAGGTGGATACCTCAATATTTACTATATACTCCATACAAACTGGATAATTTTCATATTTATCATATGAGGAAACTATTAATATTGAAATATCATTAATGTGTGGTATGGTTTTACGCATGTATAAACTAAGATTGTATGACAAAATTTTGGTTAAACAATGAATTTAAGGATTCACCAGTAGAGTAGGCGAAAATACCTATCAAATGCGCTGTGGCTCTTTTACTAGGTGAAATATGAGCCTTTGTTTTTTATATTGCTTTGCATAATATTAACGGCAATGTCTACAATATACAGATGCAGATGCAACACGCTTATATTGTGCGTGTATTATAAAATCTAAAAATATATTGAAACATCAACCGTGCACTTGTATAAATGACTGAAAATACAAGACTTCAGAATATTAATTAATCTAATCAGTCCTGACCAACAGCATCCAAAAGATTGGGAATTTATCCCCCCCCCCCTTTCCAAAAAGAATGTGTTGCAAGGGGACCTATTGTGACGTCATCGTTGAGTTTCTTGCGTAATTTATTTACATACATGCAGACGTCAACTAGACCGTTTCAGTAGCAAGATGAAATAAAGGCTAGGATTTAAGCATTTTCTTTTCTGCAATAATACTTTTAGTGATTTCATTTGTCAGCTGAACATTTTATTGCTTTAGTATATTAAATTGATCTCTTCCCTTCTTGCTGGCAACATTTAGCAAGTGTAAGGCTTAGTTGTTTAAAAAAATATCGTAATTTGTCATTTCTATAAAACATTTTTTTTAGTTTTTATGCTATTTTCATGACAAATATATTTGTATGAGCAATATAAATATGGTCAATCAATGATAAATTTATTTCTTTAACATTATTACACGAAATACACCATTATTATTGCTCCTAGATAAGAACTCGCCTCTCGACTAACTTGGTATCCGCCACCGGAAATAGTCATGAAATGTCAAAATTAACATACTGCACATTCCTCGAGCAAATTCTTAGCATTATTTTTGCTTGTCTTTTATCAAATTATTTTCAAATATATATGTTTTATTTTGCTCGAGGGGTGTGCACTACTTCAATTTTGGGAATTTGTTGTAAAAATAGTGGAAAAAATAGCAATTTCCGGAAAGAACGGATGTTTAAATCCTATGAATACCTCTAATCAACGTACTTGCGAAATTTTGTTATGCATATATCAAAACTACCAATCTTCTTCTACATGTACATAGTAGTTATATTTTTGCAAACTTGTATATCAAAATACGAAAAATTGTGGGCCTTCGAATAATACGTAACGTACTTAGTTCTTTGCAGTACTGCTTCACTAAAATCATACTTTTGGCTACATAAAATACTGATTCAGGTGCACAGTTTTCAAAGAAGCACTATTACAGCTCGACCAGTCCTGGATTAGCCTTTTTTTATTTATTACCAACCTTGTTCAAACATATTTGGGTGGAAAAAGAGGTGTGGTGTATCTGGGGTCTTGTGAAGAACCTCTATCTTAACTGTGATGGATACTCAACACATACATGTCCTTTTATAAATAGTAAAGTTTATATTTTTTGTAAATATTTAATTGAATTAAAGATAAAAATATATGTTTTAAATTTTATTTCACTTCACACACAGTTGTATCACTTCAAATAATTTAGATGTTCATGGTAAACGTGTCTTATTAGCGAAGAGTTTTCCAGCAATCTTTATTTCATGCACTGGGAGACCATTGATTTACAGCTTCAACAATCTGAACCATAGAGAAATTAAAACATATATGCTGCAAGCATAGAAAACATGAAATTTAATGTTCAAAGTAACGAACATTTACTCTCTGAAAAAACAAAAACAGTTCAATGACAAAAGGGACGAATTTATATCTATTTAATCAATTTTTGTCTCAATACCAACATGAAAATTGTGTATTTTTACATAAATATACATACCTTGAATTTAAGATGGTTTTAAAGTAGAGTCAACAACACTTTTCAGTTAAAAGTTTTAAAGTAGAGTCAACAACACTTTTCAGATATAAAATGCATCATATTAATATTAACAATATTTTGTCTAGGTCTTATTCGTTGTTTCTTTCTTTGCTATTCACTTAACCTATCTGTCTTAGTTGAAAATAATGTTATATATTTAATAGATCAGTCATTTCAGATTACACGTACCTCATTTTTACAGATACAGAGTTGTTTGTTGCATTCCCTCTCTTTTTTTAAAAAATAACCAATCAAATTCATGAGTAAAGGTCAAAGGGTAAATTAAATATTTGCTGCTTAAATGCCTCATAATTATTCTAGTGTTTCTTTCTTAAGTTGCAAAATTCAACAGCTGAAAAAACAACAATTATGTAAATAATTTCATTTATGTGTTGAATGCTGTTTAGTTTTCTTTTGTTTAAATGTAAGTAAGTAAATATTGTATTTTGTATTGTTTTAAATCTCAATATTTTGATTTTTCTTCATTGGCTTGAATTCTCCCATGCCTTGCAGGTGTCAGGTGCACGTTATGCAATTTTCCCCATTTCTTCAGTTTCGGCTACTTGTTACACAACTCCAAAATTTTCCATGGTCAAACCTTACCCCTATGTAAGCTAATAGCCAATCAGAAATGACCATCATGGTCACGTGTTTTGATGCTGTCGGTAGCTGACCAGTCAGCGTTGGGTCATTCTCGCCTCATCTATGCTACTGATAACAACAAAAAATTTGGCACAGTAAGAAGAAAGATTCCTGCTTTTATCCTGAGTAGAAGGTGTGTTGCAACGCATTTTTGTTGTTTTTAGTGAATGCGATTATCTATCATTTTGAGCTGGTTCCGGTTGGGGTACAGTGTGTTTTGTAAACATGACCGCAATGAACGTTTTTGTTATCGGACACTCTTACATCAGAAGACTAAAGGAATATTGTGTTCAAAAGGGGACAGAAAATTTGGGTTTGGATCCAAAACAATATCATGTTACATTCAGAGGGAAAGGAGGACTGAAATTGAGTAAATGTGATTCCCGCTCCGAATTTCTGTGTTTTGACACTGTCCCGGATGTTGTGTTTTTACAAATCGGCGAGAATGATATTTCCACTTCCACGAATAGCAGAAAATTAGCCATGGATATTATTTCGGTTGCACAATATCTTCGTGACGGAGTAGGTGTGAAATTGATTATTATAGGTCAATTAATTCGCCGTATGCAGTTCGCATCATGCAGAGATTTCAATGCCACAGTGGTTGAAATCAATTTACATGTGAAACAGATGAGCGACCCCCTATGTGGTATTCATTATTGGGGACATAGAGGGTTCTGGAATGACCTGCAATATCTAGGACCAGATGGTGTCCATCTGCTCTGTACCCCTACTGAGGACCAGCCTATGAGGAAATATCGCCGCAGTGTCAGGAATGCGGTGATCCTGCTTTCTAAATTACTAAGGCCAGTATAATTTTTGCCTTGCATATTGTTCATTATTTTATGAGCACTAAAGTATTTCTATGTCACAATTTAAACAACAAACATACACGATAATATTGTGTTGGATTGAGACATGCCCTCAATGTGACATTCGAAGATGAAGAGTTAAATATCAATTGTGCCTCAGTTTGCACACAAAAGGCAGGTATAATAGGTAGTCGAATATATAACAATCAAGTATGACACATGTTTTAATTTTAGTTGTTGTTATTGCCCTGTAAAACCAGTTAGATAGTTCTTGATGCCTTCTAGGTCAGAATCAGAGAATTACACATACTATTCATAAAATGATCTGAGTTCATTATGTAATTAGGAGTCAGTGTATCTCTTTTATTTACATGTTGGGGGAGTTTTAGTAAAACCCAATATATATTTAGTCTCATGTCAACAGGTGTGGGTCAGAGTGTACCCATTTATTTTGTTTGAATAAAGTGAACATGTAATTAGGAGTCTGAGTTACTCTGTTATTTACATGTTTGTGTGGGTCGGAGTTACCCATATATTTTTTGATTAATGTAACATGTAATTAGGAGTCAGAGTTACTCTGTTATTTACATGTTTGTGTGGGTCGGAGTTACCCATATATTTTTTGATTAATGTAACATGTAATTAGGAGTCAGAGTTACTCTGTTATTTACATGTTTGTGTGGGTCGGAGTTACCCATATATTTTTTGATTAATGTAACATGTAATTAGGAGTCAGAGTTACTCTGTTATTTACATGTTTGTGTGGGTCGGAGTTACCCATATAATTTTTGATTAATGTAACATGTAATTAGGAGTCTGAGTTACTCTGTTATTTACATGTTTAGTGTGGGTTAGAGTTACCCAGATATTTTGGGGTCAGATTTCTTTACATAATTTTATTTAGTTTAATTTGAATATGTAATAGGAGTCAAAGTTACTCTGTTATTTACATAGTTTTGGTTATAGGAGTTATTCAATACAGGGATTTTGTGGGGAGTTAAACTATAGACATTTGGTAAATGATTTTCATCATGTAATAGAGTACAGCTGTTAGCTAGGTACTCAGATGTCGTCAATTAGACTCTCTGTAATTGTGCCATAATGTGTCTAACCTGTTTTGGATAACTATTTTGTCTTTGCTTAGGAATCAGTATTCCCCACTCTATTTAAAAAATTGCAAGTTCACAATCTCACAGCTGGCATTCATATACTTGAAATATGTATTGCCATTATCATTGTGAGATGAAACTAAATCTGTAGAGTTTTGTTTTTTAATAATATTCTCTTCTTCAGAAGCAATGCCACCAAAGAAAAGAAGCAAAAAAGGGGAACTCGCAGCAGATGAGCAGTCCAGTTCCTCCAGCACAGGGAGAAAGCGAAAGCGAGTGACTCCTACTCAACAGACAGAGACTGTGATGCAGAGTGCTCTGCCAACCATTGACTACACACTACTGGCAAAACACATATTAACTGAACAACAGAAATTAACATCCAGTGAGGGGAATGGACTTGCTGAGGCAACCGCGAGCCAACATGGGGAAGCATCCCCATCAGTTATCCAAAACAAGGAGCCACAGTCCAGCAGTGAGCTAGTTAACCCTGCAGCAACTACGAGTGTTACAGATGGTACCCCACAAGCTAGTGCCATGGTCCCAGCCTCTGCACTTGGTGCACTTCTGGACAATGTTTTTACAGGTGAGCCAGCAGGCAGTAATTCTGACACTAATCCACAAATTCAATTAACAGATTGCGTGCCTCTTGGGGCTACAGTTTCCTCCAAATTAAAACTTAAAATTTGGAATAATGAATTTGTTGACCTGAAACTTCTTTTACCCAACTCAAACGAAGAGCCCCTTTCAATTATGGTAAAAGCTGGTAAAATTGAACTGCAGCAAACATCATCAAATAAAAATCCAATAACAATCCATCAATGGACAGATGCATTTTTGATATTTAGTACCATATATCTACAGAAATTCCCTCAGGAGGCAAGCAATCTGTTGAAATATATGTTTACTATTCGTGACATAAGCAAGCTCCATGGTGAGCAAGCATGGAGGACTTATGATGAGTCTTTTAGGAAAATTAGGGAGACATCCCTCTTACCATGGGAAAGAGTAGTAACAGAGTTACGGTTAAAGGCAGCCTCTGTGGGAATTAGGTCTCCAAACAAATTGCAAGGGAGTAGTGGCAAACGACAGCCTTTTCGTCCCAAATACTGCTTCGCGTACAACAAAGGGCAAAAGTGTAACTCCCACCCTTGTAGATTTTCCCATACCTGCCAAGACTGTCATGGTCCCCACCCCCGAGTTCAATGTACAGGCATACGGTCCAACTCATCCTCCTCAATTAGAAATGGCAGTAGCCCTTCCAACTCCAGTAAACCCAGTACAACTCAAAAGTGAGTTAGAAGGTTATGAAAAAGAAAAACTGAATTTTCTAGTTTCAGGGTTCACATTTGGTTTCCGTTTAGGGTGTGTCAAGACCCCTTCCATTCACCCTCCTCATAATCACAAATCAACCTATGAACACCCAGATATTGTAGATGACTATATTAATGCAGGTTTAAGTAGGCAAAGAATTTCAGGCCCATTTACACATCCACCCCTACCACTTTTTAAAACTTCTCCATTGGGGGTTGTCCCTAAATCTGAACCAAATAAATACAGAATTATTCATGATCTTTCTTTTCCAGCCCAGGATTCAGTCAATTCAAATATTCCTAAAGAATGTTCTGAAGTTCATTATGATTCAGTTGACACTGTTGTAGCACTGGTACGTCAGTTTGGGAAAGGTTCTCTTATGGCAAAATCAGATATTAAAGATGCCTTTCGAATTATACCAGTACATCCGTCTGATTATCATCTTTTGGGTTTTACATGGCAAGGTCAATTTTATTATGAGCGTTGTCTGCCAATGGGGGCAAGCAGTTCTTGTCAATTATTTGAACAGTTAAGTACAGCTCTTCAATGGGTAATGTTAAACAAACTGAAGGCTTCAGGCATGTCTCATATTTTGGATGATTTCTTTTTCATTGGTCCTCCAAACTCACAGAAATGCAAACATGATTTGAACAACTTTTTGTCGTTATGTGGAAGAATTAACATTCCAATGAATATGGAAAAAACCTTCGGGCCAGTGACATGCATTACTATTTATGGTATTGAGGTAGATTCCGTTGATATGGTGAGCCGCCTTCCACTTGACAAACTCGAGAAATGTAGAAATTTAGTGCGTCAGTTTATAAACAGGAAGAAGGTTGCATTACGGGAACTTCAGTCATTAATTGGAGTGTTAAACTTTGCATGTTTGGTAGTGGTTCCTGGTAGGGCTTTTTTACGCCGGTTAATTGATTTGACAATAGGGATTGTGAAACCTCATTACCTTATCCGTTTTAATAAGGAGGTAAGAGCAGATTTGGCAATGTCGCTGCACTTCCTAGAAAATTTTAATGGAAAATCAGTTCTTTTTCCAGAGGAATGGGAATCATCAGATATCACCCGATTATTTACAGATGCTTCTGGTTTATTAGGGTTTGCTGCTGTGTTTGGATGTAAATGGTTTGCAGCTGAATGGACAGAGTCTCTTTTTCCCATGCAAATTGCAGTGAAGGAGTTGTTTCCAATTGTATTAGCTCTAGAAATTTGGGGGTCAGAAATGGCAAATAGAAAAATTCTTTTTATGTCAGACAATATGGCTGTGGTGGAGGTGATAAATAAACAGTCGAGTAAAGAAAAAAATCTTATGCATCTACTTCGCCGTTTGGTATTGGTTTGTCTATCAAATAATATCTTCTTTAAAGCTAAGCATATTCCAGGCAAATACAATGTGGTAGCTGACAGTTTGTCACGTTTGCAATTTCAGAAAGCACGGCAGGTAGCACCATACTTAGAACAACAGGCAACTGTCATTCCGGCACACCTATTACAGATTTGACCTCTTCAACTCGTTCAGTCCTTGTGGCAGCTTTATCACCCCCTGCACGATATGCTTATAGACATTCGTGGCAACTTTTCCTCAATTACAGAAAAGATCCAGTATCTCTACCATTGCCTATTACAGACATATGTAACTTCATTGGTTTTCTTTTTGAGAAACAATACAGTTCTAGCAGCATTGCCTCACATATATCGGCATTAGGTTATGTTCACAAAATTCTCAATTTGCCAGATCCAACTCAAACTTTTATTGTGCGCAAACTACTGAAAGGTTGTCACAAGCTACTACCCACTCGGGATGCTAGATTGCCAATAACAAAAAATATCATGCACAAAATTTTGGCTGCACTAGTCTTTACTGTTCCACAAGCTTTAAATCAGGTTCTTTTGCAAGCCCTTTTCCTTTTATGTTTTAATGCATTTCTGCGTTTAGGGGAAGTTATCTCAAAAACTCTAGCAGATAAGGACAAAGTTCTGCAAATACAAGACATTATTTTCAGTGGAGAAAAATGCAGTCCTTCAGCAGTTCAAATTGTTCTTAGGCACCATAAATCTCAACAGAAAAATGAGCCCATCATAATATCTATTCAAGCCAACCCTAGTTCACAATTTTGTCCAGTGCATAATCTTTATAAGTATAAATCATTATTTCCACATGTGTCAGGCCCCTTCTTCCAGTTTGTCAATGGTACTCCAGTCACATATTCTTATGTCAGTAGTGAACTTTCAAAAACAATAGCATTTGCAGGTCTGGATCCCAAACGTTATAAGGGGCACAGTTTTCGTATAGGTGCAGCAACGCATGCTGCACAGTTAGGGTATTCTGAGACTTTCATTCAACATTTAGGCAGATGGAACTCGAATGTTTTGCACAGATATATTAGAATTAAATCGTTTCAGTTGTAATAAAATATAGGATTCCCTCCTCCCTCCCCCCCCCCCTTTTTTTTTTTTTTTTTTTTTTTTTTTTTTTTTTTTTTTTTCTATATCAGTCCATCCCAGGGCAGGTCAGTGTCTAACTGCTGCTACTACTGGTTACGTGTAAGTTTGCAGGTCAGTGTTTAACTGCTGCTATTAAGTTTGTTGCAGGACAGTGTTTAACTGCTGCTATTAAGTTTGTTGCAGGCCAGTGTTTAACTGCTGCTATTAAGTTAGGTTGCAGGTCAGT